AGGAAGTCCTTCTGACTTTTCATTGAATTAAGGCTAGTTTCAAGTAATAAGAACACTGTACATTTACTAGAAATGGAAATGAACCAGATATGAGTTCCTCCCAATATATATATATATTCAGATACAGACTCAATTATGACTGGTATTGTTATTTTTGAATTCACAACACGAAATAAACGAGTTTTTCGAAAAAGTAGAAAGTGCTGACTAAAGAGAATGTTAGTGATGTAGGTGAGCAAGAAGGAAAACAAATAGCTTTATTTATAGTTAAGAAAGGGTTTAAAGGTGGTTAATCCCTCACTTTAAGTGAACATTGGCCAAGGCACAATAGTAACTGGACTACACTAATCCTATTTATGACTTTCAGAACTGTTTATAATCACCGACATTTTTCCGTCTTTGTTTGTGGATGTAATACTTACTTGAATTCATCTAACTTTTTTTATTTTTAAACATTGTTTTATAATTTTGTTTTCCATTCAAATACTACTGTTTGGGGGGTTTAAATGATTGTAATAACATAATAAAGTTTGAGAAAAAAAATGACATCAATGCATTACTGCTGTTTTATTGAAAATCACGACATGCAAGATGAAAACACGGGTTCAGTTTGTACTGCTGAACAAATAAAAGATTAAAAAAATCACAGGATCATTCATGTGGAAGTGATCAGTTACACAGACAGTCAGCCCCTCTGAGACTGAAAAAAGGTATACACATTAAAGTCCAACTCATTTGGTAAAAAAGCACTCCATTGGAGGTCTGAATTAACATTCCCATGAGACATGTCTCGGTTGTAAATCAGGACTGATGCGAGGGTTGACTGCTGGTCATCTCCTCCACAAACCAGTGTGGCAGGAAGCAGTACGGCGAGTCCCTGTGGACGGAGAAGGTCACATCTCTGCGGGGCTCCCAGGACAACAGGTACACCACACTGGAAGGGAAATAATAATGTTTCATAAATTATATTTGCTTGAATGTCAAAAAAAGTTTAGCAACGTAGTCTGTCAAGGCGATTCAGTTTACCTCGGATTGTCTTCAGTAGCGATGTGCTTTACAAAAGACAGGAAGTCAGAGCAGAAGTTCATACAAACTGTCGGCTTCCAGCAGTTGTGTTCATTCTGTCCAGAGGAACAGACAGAAAAAGTGAAAATATTTTGAGTTAATCTTTTAATTATTCTTGAAGATCAAAATCTATTTGTCAATGTTTAGATAAGTCACCGTACCTTGATGAGATGGGAAATCTTAGAGATGGGAAAAGTTTCCACAGCAACGACCACGCCTTCTTCATCGCGAAAACCTGCCACAACACGGGGGACTCCGGGGAGAAAAGACTGGGCCCACCACTTCAGAAGCTTGAACCTGAGGAACACCAAAATGAAACTTTAAAACTGCCTACTACAATCAATCTTGGATACACATTTTCATAATTTTCTGACATTTCATAGACTAGACAACCGATGGTGATAATATGTGTGAGTTGCAGCCCTAGAAGATTACCTGTGGAAGTTGCTGCGCTGTTTAGGGGTGCAGATCTCCGCAGAGGTCTTCAGTTCGATGTAGCATGCAGGAGCAGCCGGAGCGTTGGGATCTTTGTCCCGACAGTCCACCTCTCCGGAGAACAGGAGTCTGTGGTCTGCGAGCCGCGTTTGCACCACAGTGCAGAAGGCCTCATTGGTGTTAAGCACCCCGCCTGGGTCAGGTCGACCGTGGTCGGTATCTACAGGGAAGGACAAAGGTGAAACGCTATTATTCAAACATTTGCTTACCACCCTTTTATGTTATTTGGGTGTCAAATGTTATACAACAAGACAAACTGGGATGCATGAAGCACGTTTGTGCCAGGAGGAAAAGCATACATGAAATTAATAATGGAAAATAAAGAAAAATGCTGACTTTTTATCAAAAATGTAAAAGACTTAGCTCAAAATTATGAAAAAAGTGTTTTACTATTGGTATATTTTACTATTTAGATTGAATTAATGATTGAATGCAAATATTCGCTTTTTGAAAATATGAAAAACGAAGTCATTGTTTAGAAATGATAGGTCAAATTGATATTACATACAAATACTGACTTTCATAAAATCCCAGAATGTTCTAGTCAAATGTTTTTACTTACTTGACGGTTACATTTCAAGTTAATATTAGCTGAAATTTCCCCTTGGTACGTTTCCTGGCATAAATAGCTTTCCATAGATATGACTACATAAATCCAAATGTTTTTAGTGTGACGCTTGAAGAACATCAAATGAAAGAAATCAAAATAAACAGCATTCACTATAATAATCCAGTGTATAAACCTACATACCTGCACATGTGTATTGCTCGAACTTGTATCCCCAGTACATCATCTCTTCATGTCTCTCGGTGCGGTTCTCTTGATCCCTACGAGCAGCTTCTGTTTCCACCTCACTGATGTACAGCGTGCCCCTGAACCTGGTGACGGCCAGCTGCCAGCCCTCCCGCGTCTCATAGGGAGCCGTCAGCAGCTTGGTTAGATGACCACGCCATGTCACAAAGTCGATATCTAAATCACTGGAAAGAGCAGAGGTTGATCAAATAATAGGTGTCCGACAGGAACGTTCTGGTCTGATGTAGTTGGATTAGAGCAATATTTCAAAAAGTTAGGGTATTGACCCAAATTGGTCCAGGGCCATTTCGTTGTTGGTTGCCAATTGCATATCAATATTATTAGATGTGAATCAATACTTCTAATTAAAGCTTGTTCAGCTAAGATACTGTTTGTAAGAGCGGTTATTTTTCAATGTAATATCATGTCTGTCATTTACCAGGCTTTACAAGGGAAGAGAGGGTTTTCTGCTCTGCCTCATTTTTTTCATTTACATTTTCTTGAATTCATGTTTGTTGGGTTCTTTGACAGTTGTTTAGGAACGGAGATGTTAAGGCCATTCATGATGTGTTTTTCAAAGTTTGTGTCCCTGGGAGACCCCACATTTATTTTTTGGGTGTTGGGCTGTACACTTGGTAATCCCTGGATCTAGCTGATCTCAGATCTGTTAACCTGAATAAGACAGAAAAAAAGTTACACTTACCATGATGAGGCGGTTGTCCCCCTTGCGCTGAGCTTTGATCTGTTGGCCAAGATCCAGCGTAACATGTGGTCCAGCTTCTCCTTCACACTGTCGTCTCTCTTAATAAACCGATCCTTATATCCATCCCTCAGATCAAAATTTGGACTCCTATCAGGTTCCACATAGTATCTCATTTGCCTGCCGTCATTGAAGAATCTGCGTTCAGAGTCGAGGGAAAAACATCCTACTTCGACAGGCTGTTTGTACACAGGAAAGTCTCTCTCATATAGCTCCCTTCTGGTGCTCAAACTCAGAGAGCTATGTGGGTTTTGTCCACGACTTGGCCCTGACTGATTCTGGGGGCGGTTGGGTCTGGAGTGTTTATTCTCACAGTGATTTCTTCCATTGTCCTCTCGTTCTCTTTTGTATGCTGACGGGTTTTGGTGGCTAGGGTTGGGATTGTGTGATCTGTGCTGCTCCATTGCTACCTAGTGAAGAAAAGAGCAATGAAACAAACATATGGCCTTGATGATTATTCATATTTCTTCAATGTCTTGGTCTCCTACAGGAAAGCTGAAACATGTTATGCCTCATTATCACTTTTTTTGACACAAAAAAGTCAGTGCTAACCTATTGTATATGCTGTTACAAAATACAATAACTTTTAGTGGATGCTTACATAAAAAAAACACTAACAGATATTTGTGAAATGTGTATATATATAGTAATGTGTTCATGCTATACTTTATAAAGCCAGAATTATCCATATTCCAGATATTGCTATCTGTGGTTTCTGGCCAAGGAGTTACAGAACGCTTCACAAAATACCCCAGAGCAAAAACTAAAAATCAAGAATGCATTTTAAAGATTGGAAAAGGTACTTTTATTTTATAGACCCAGTAGTGGCTGTTCTGTTATGAACATATTGTTGCATGTGATCTACATCGTGATCTGTGTAAGTATATGTGGATGCAGACATATTAAAAAGGTTCAGATGCAGATGTTATAATACCATTTTCTGTAGAAAAGTACGTTTGTGTGTTTTACAAAAATCTATTGTATGTACTTTGCTTGGGTGTGTGTTAAATTGCCTTTGTAAATAAACTAGTTACTTAACTAAATGACAGGCGAATGAATGTAACCCAGCATACTCATACTCAGCATGCACAACAACAGCTAGCTTACGTTAAGATAAGGTTACGTTTCTGTTAATGTCCACTAAGTCACAATAATGCACATTACCTTGAGTGAAAACAACTATTATATTGTATAGCATATGTTCATATTAACAAAAGAGCTGAATAAAGAATACATACATTGTATTTATCTCGCTAGCTGGGTAGATAACAAGCACCATAGCACCAAAGGCTAACAACAAACTCAACGCTACTTCCTATGTAATTTCTCCTCCCATCCGCTTGGTGGTAGCCGCAAAACCTCGAATAATTAACCGTGAAAGAGAAAAACTGTTTGAGTTATACTTCATGAAATACATTAATCATTTTAAAGACTACATCATGCTGAGAAATCGATCTGATTTATGTTTAATCCAGCTCATAAGGGCATCGAACGAAACGGTAGGGCAAGCTCCTGTGTAATTTGTAGGTAGCCCAGTTGTGTCACATATCTTTGAGTAAAAATGGAAGCAATAAAACTGAAAAATTGAATCATGGCAAAAAGCAGTGGGATGAAGGGAAAAAATGACTACATTTTAATAAAAACGCAGGAAAAGTGGGAGGGTTTAAGACAATAGCAAAAAGCACGGTAGAGCAAGCAATCAAGAAAACTGTGGGGTGTTTTTTTTTTAAATCTCAAGAATGTATTAGGTGTTGAGGATGATAAAGCCTTATTTAAGAAATACTGGATTGAGGAAGAGAATTGTGTGGTGGTTAATGCTTTCCCTTGATCTCTGGTCCACACTCCAGCACAGTAGGTGGCGGTATTGCACCTTAAACCTTAAGGGCCGCCCGCCATTAAACAAGAAGAAGAGGAATAACTGTTATAGTTGTTGGTTGGAGCTGTTGTTTCGAATGGGACAGAAGCGATATGAATACTGATATAAATAATATAAGTAGCTATCAGGTGAGAGCTTTAACTACCTTGACCGGTCAAATAATGGCTTATGAGCTCCGTGTGAGCTGGATTAGCTAGCTTCATCGGCTTGGTTTACAAGAGAGCAAAAACAAGTAACTGAACCGGTGGGTCGTGTCATGGTCGTGTCCCATTGAATGTGTTTACCAAGCAAAAAAAGTCTTGCGTTTTTTCTCAGAGCTGTAATTTGGGTAAAAACCTAACGCTTGAAGTTGGTATTTTCATAGGGAGAGCTGAGTTAATGGCCTGGAGAAATTAGCCAGCTAACTTAAACTGATTTGACTCCTTTTCGTCCTGATTTTTATTTTTGAGAAGAACTACATGGTCTTTATACGTTTAAGTTGAAGCCTTTGTGAAGGCCCAGATAAAATCACATTGGGTTTGTGGATTCCAGTTGTGTTATTGTGAGAAATCAGCTGTCTGGGCATTATGGGCAAATAGATTAATTCTGCAAGTGATGATATCTCTACCACAATTTCTCCTCCAGATATGAACAGAAAACGGCCTTTGATTTCAGACGCTTTCAAAGTGAAGAGATTTAGAAATGAAACTCAGATGTTTGGGGCTGTCAGTAAAGGAAATGGTATGTGTTACTGCTAAACATATATTATACAACTCTGTTGTAATCTCTATATAGCATGTTAAGTTATTTTTCCATTTGTTGCTTGTTTCATCCCTCAAAGGGCCGACCGACATCAGATCCACCCTTGAGACCCTGATGACACTATTCCCCAGGAAGCTCTTCAACGACTCATTGCCTCAAATTGTTATTAAGCACCAACTCTACAGCATTCATAATGACAAGACTTTGGTGGACAAGGAGCTGGTAAGATAACTCTTTAGTGTCAGAAAGGTCATATGTGTAGCCATCTAAATGTGAAAATACAACCCTCCTTTGGTGCACAGAATAAACTCCGGGAACAAGGAGAACTGCTGATGTTCCAGCTCGGGTTTGACGCAGATGCATTCGGACTGGTTTTTGCTTCCGATTACAAAGCCAAAGTGCTGGCAGGAGAGGATGGCAGGGCGACACGAGCAACCGTTGAGAAGTTTTTGGAGAAGTTGCCGTCTCCTTGCACAGAGCTGAGCTTCAGCAAAGACAAGATGCTCAAGGAGTTCCGCTTCACAGACTCTGAGATAACGTATGAAACTCTCCCATGTGACTTGTATTCTGTATTTTTAATGCTTATAGTTTTATTCTCCCAAAATGAAAAACTGCCTACGTGTCTCATGTCTTATAGTCTGAAACCCTCTCTTTAAAGATGAGTATATAATTTATTTTCTTACCCTCTAGTCAGCTGGTGAAGTCAGGGGTCCTGACTGTGAGGGACGCAGGCAGCTGGTGGCTTTCCATTCCCAACTCAGGCAAATTCACCAAGTACTTTATCCAAGGTGAGAGTTGAGAAAAAAAGTCTCTCTACTATATTTTACTTTACATGTGGAATTCTAGTTCTGACCGTTTTTACAGTGATTTGTTGATTTAAGAACTGTTTGTTTTCTAACTATCTTACCACTCTCCCTGTTAGGTCGTAAAGCAGTGCTCAACATGGTGAAGAAGTCCAAATATAGTGAAGTCTTGAAGACAGAGCTAGAGGAGCGTAGAACCACCTCGCATGTGAAATTCCAGATGAAATATCACATCCATGACATTGTTGGTGCAGAGCTAGTGGAGAGGTAACATTTGCTTGTTTAAAAATTGCATGCTAGAGAAGTGTTACAGTAGATAGTTGACCCATCTGTCCAATGAAAAGAGCCCGCACTTCATGCAGCTGCTCTCTAATTTACGGTCCTCTCAGTTCAGTAATTGAGGGTTTTTGTTACTTGCACCAACAGCCCTCAGGCTAGAGGCTGGCTCTCGGGTGTTAAAATATGTGCTTGTCAAAACCTTCAAAATCCAGCCAGTTTGATCCCTGTAAACAACAAATGATTTAAAAACACACAGCTATGATTGCTTGAAATCTCAAGGCCATTCCTGTTTTGTAACTTCTATCTAAAAAGACTGACCAATTTCTCTTATTACTATTTTTGGGCTATTATTATATCCTACACTGTTTATTAAATATACTGAATAACGTCTTTGTTTTATTCCCAGCATACCTACAACTTCAGGGACATTGTTGCGATTTGTTGATTCCTGAATGGCAGCAGCAGAGCTTTAATTGGTGCCAATGGTTGATCAGAAGATTTACAAAGATTGTAACAAAAAAACGTTTGTACTTGGGCTGTTAAAATTTACATTTATTTAAGATGACAGAGATTAAGTCTGTGCCAAGTGCCTTATTAAAACCTTGTGGGTTTATGAATTGTCAATTATGTTGATATGACCTTGTGAGGTTTGGATTTATCTTGAAATAAAAATGATTTTCTTTCCTTCATGTGAGTTATTACCTTTGTTCACAGAATATCAGCACTTTCATCCAACTGTCCCTATTACCATGTTTAATTATGTAATGCTCTCAGATGTTAATTAAACTATATTACTATGGTTGTAGTTGGTGGTAGAGCTGCAATGGACTGCATTGTATTACAATTATACGGTTATAATATTCTTCTACCCAGATTTGTAAATAGTATGGACAAAACATTAAACACCTCAATATAATGTAGTTTGAGAAACTTCAAACATACAATACATATTTATTTGTAAAGGTTGAATTAATGTTCTAATTGTATGTATTTTGCCTTTAAATTCATGGATATATTGGTGAAAATGTTCTCTTAAGTAAAATTCCATTAATTGTGACAAGTTGTCACTGATGTAACAGATGACTGACAATTTACAAGCTTTTAAAACCAAATAGCTAAAAATAATTTGGAAAAGGTGAAAAGTCACATGAAGAATTTCTGCAAAAGAATATTATAATGTGATATTTCCCTGTTAACCCTTTGCATTTACATTTCCCAGTATAGTCCAAGCGAAGGTATTCACTCTACTACTCATTAAGTCAAGTCAGTGTTTTCTTTTTTTTGTCTGAATGCCAAGCGTCACACTAAGGAGAATCTGTGGTTGCACTGTCCAAAGAAGCAGAATAGAGTCGGTTTTACTTGAATTTATTGGCTTTTTCAAAAAGTGACTATAGCTTTTATCCATAAAACTAAAGAGTCACAACATTGGCTTGAATTATACCACAGCTTGATGTCTGAATACAATACAGATGAGCAACATGTACTTAACCCCTGATCTAGTGGATCAAATACATTTTGTAAATAAGCAAAAAATATAAATTGCAATTCTAATCTTTTTTTTCAGTATATGTTGCACATACAAGCTATCAGCATTAATTACAAAAAGCTAGGCTTGTAGGGAGATTAAGGTAGCGTTAACTGTAGAGGTAATAAACAAAAGGATATTCATAGTGTTAGTTTAACAATACAGTGAGTGAAGTGTAACTTTTGTGAAGAAAGATACAAAACAGTCAAATCACATGATTATAACCAAAAAAAAAAAAAGAGTACACGGTTTACTACACCATAACTGACAGTAGCATTGTTACTGTTATCAGCAGGCATTAATGCTCTTTTAGTGACATTGCTTAGCCAGTAGTGATGCTGTTAAGAATCAAATATGCTGCACAAAGGGTTTTTGATAAATGCCCACAGAGCATTAAAAGGTGCTCTTGTTCCCCGCCACCAAAACAGTTCTGATCCAATATCTAATAAAGTGTTCAGCCTTGCACTCCTGGGCAGCGACACGGTTGAAAGACACTTCTAGGGAATATTGCAAAAAAAGGAAAAGAAAAGAATACCATAAACTTGAATGGAGCCAAACACGTAAAATACTGGAGCATTTCAATTTGTCAGGGTTTAATAGCACAGTTGGTGTCAGAAGATTTGTTCCCAGTTTGAATTTATAGAACGTCATTCAATTCACACAAATGAATAAACATGAATCATGTGCTAGGACTGAACACTAGCTAACTTGTACAGAGATGCGTGTGGTATTAATTTGAAGCAGAAGAACTTCACAGGTGGTTACTTCAAGTTCCTTGTTGACAGTGCGATGACGTGTGACCGTCTTTGCAAAGTGAAAATGAATAACACCGCCCATGACTATAGAGCTCAACAAAGAGCAGCACTCAACAGGAATCTGTCATTATGAAGGTTTAAAATGTTTGAGACAATAGGACAAAGGTTTTATTTTCTGTTAAAATACAGCACATCTACGGAGTGTATTTGGCAATATTTATTCCACTCAAAACAAACAACCCAGACTGTAAACAAAAAAAATGTGGACAACAAGTGGAAGAACAAATTGAAAACATTCCACGGTCCATTTTTTACAAAACATCCAATCCATTTTAGAAGGCCTCGAGAAATGTCATAGTCTTGTCTATACAGTATGCGTGGTTGGGAAAGAGCTAGGGTCTATAATGGTCTAACCCCGTCTCCTAAATCTGACAACTTTGTCATGGAAACGGTTGGTAGAACTGCTGTAGCTACACTTATGGAAGGAAAGAATTTGAAGTACATTGTTTTGATGTGTATACTGTGTCTTTTGCCAGCCCTCACCACTAGCGGCCATGTTCCCCTGTAACCGTTCCAGTGGAGGAAGTCTTAGAGGAGAGAGCACTTCCTGCCCTTCTTCTTGACGGGGGGAGGGCAGAGGACGGCCCGGATGGCCTCGTCGAACACAGTTTTAAGGCCACGCTGAGTCAGGGCTGAGCACTCCAGGTACTTGACAGAGCCTGAGAGAAAAGCACACATCAAATATTTGTCTCTATAAATATAATCAAAAAAGTGTTTACAGAAAACCATGGCTGTCCTTGAAAATGTAAAGAGAAATGTTAAATATTTCAGCGTGACAAAGGCTTTGAAATTTGACAAAGACTACAACTACCAATTAGACTAATCGAGGGAGAGGGGGTACGCCTTACAGAAAGCCAGTAAAGTTTAAATGTGCCGTTACCGATCTCTTTGGCCATCGCCAGTCCTTGGGGATATGTAATTGGAGCGAGTTTCTTCTCCTTCAGCTTCTCTATGGTGTCCTTATCATCTCTCAGATCCAGCTTGGTCCCCACCAGGATGATGGGAGTGTTGGGACAATGGTGTCTCACCTCGGGGTACCACTGCACAGAGACACAACATTCGGAGGTTAGGGGGACCGCTCGGTGTTATCGTAAACATACAATGGCTAAGGAATAGGGGTGCAACAACTAATCGACTTAATCGATTACCAAATTAGTTGCCAACTAATTCAGTCGTCGATCCGTTGGTGACGTCATCACGTGTGTTTTACGCGCCGTTAAGCTCCAACGTTATTGGTCTTTTTATCGGTAATGGAGACATTTAAAAAATATATGTCATGTATTATTGCTACAAAAACATTATATCGCAGTCTTAGTGTCGCCAACTCGTTT